TACTAAAAATTTTAGGGTAAATTTAAGCCCTGTTTAGTCAACTGAATAGGACAACTGGTGAGTTATATCTAAATAAAGACTCTCAGTCATTGTAAGTAAATGATGTAAAGCCATTATAGTAGAAATCAACTTGAGAAATCACTTTCTGGAATTTTGTATCAATTTTGGAACTTTTTGGTATGATAACCATATGACTTTAACACTTTTTAAGTAGTTGGATTTCGGTATTTATATATCAATTTTATAGTTTTAAAAAAAAAGACTAGCATAGTACTTTGATTTTAGATTACAGTTTTGCATCACTGAAAAACGGTAACAAATCTGGAACTGAGGACTCATAGAGGAATCCAAAAGCATATAATGACAATAAGGCTAATGTACTAATTATGTGTGATGCTTTTTACTAACTACTTCTCCTATTTTAGATAATGAAAGAAATCCAAGAACATAAAATTAAAATATATGAATTTCCAGAAACAGATGATGAAGAAGAAAATAAGCTTGTTAAAAAAATAAAGGTAGGTTCATCCTTATATATACACTAAAATGATACAGAGCCTGAAAGCATACTATAGTATCCACAGGAAAGACTGAAAATACCAGTGTTGGCTTACCGAATGCATAGGGAGATTATTTTAGTGTTGAGTTCAACTTTACAGTAAACTTCGTTGATTAGCTAATATATATAATACAGCATCGTATGGAATAGCATGGTAAATAACACGATCCTTATCTCAAATAGTTTTTAATTAAGTGGTTTCATACTATATAATTTTCCTCCCTTAAGAAACAAGTGATAAGAAGGGAAAGGATTTATTCTGTCATGTTTTAATCTTTGTTTTAAGGGCCAGATAAAAATATTTTTTTTGGCCTTTTATGAAAGCCAACCAATATGGATTATAAAATTACAGCTAGATAGGAAAAATAAGTTCTAGAGTTCTGTCTCACTGTAGGGTGGCTGTAGTTAATAATTCTGTATTTTCAGATAGCTAGAAGAGAAGATTTTTAATATCCCCAACACAAAGAAATAATAAAAGTTTAAGGTGATGGATATGCTAATTACTCGCATTTGATCATTACACATTGTATACAGGTATCAGAATATCACACAGTACCCCATAAATATGTACAATTATTATGTGTCAATTAAAAATAATAAAAACCAACCAAAAATCCACACCAACGTAATTTTCTGTATTTTAATTTATTGTGGTTTCCTAAGTACCCTGGACCTAAAAACAGTGTACCGAATAATGGCATTATGTGGGCAAATATCTTGGAATAATGAAATACTTATTCCTGACCAAGGAAGAATTTCTGAAGTTTTATAAAATAGCTGCTGATATATTTCTGATAACTGCAGAATTGTGAAAGATTATACTCTGAGTTAGTAAGGATGAATACAAATCTAGTCACCTGGATCTGAAGTTCCAAGGTTGGAGCTTAGCAAATATACTATTCCCTTCTTCCAGTACTGTTAGAGTTGGTTTGTGATCAGGTGAGCAGACTAGTCAGTCACAAGCCTCACTGTTTTTCTTCTAAATGCCATACATTTTTAACTCTATTTTTCCCCTTTTTTTCCCCAGTATGGGACAGTGTTTTGGAGTAATTTTTAGCAAATAATTTGACTGTTATATTCCATAGTATTGTTAAATTTTCAGAGAAAATGTATTACTTATTGTTTACCTTGGTAGTTAATACCATGTAGTAGCAATTTGTTAAATATTTGTTGAATGGCCTCTAAAAGAACGCAGAAACTATCAAAGTATTTTTTTTTTTGCTAATCTGTTGAGTAATGTAACTTTTTATTTTTGAATTTGTGAGGGCTACAGAGTTGTATTTGAACAAGAATACTTTGTTTTATAGGACCGTTTACCTCTTGCGGTGGTAGGTAGTAATACTATCATTGAAGTTAATGGCAAAAGGGTCAGAGGAAGGCAGTATCCTTGGGGTGTTGCTGAAGGTAAGGTTTTCTTCAGTGAATGACTTTCTATAAGATCTTACAGATATGATAAAAAAGTTTGTATTTATAGTAAGTAGTATAATATGCAAACTGCATTGATATATTCTGGATTTTCAAGGATAGTTCTGATCTCAGTTTCTTTTAGTCTCATTTTCCTCATAAGTATATTCCTATTTTTCAGATTTTGTATCCTACTAAGGCAGGCAAGTATGTGTTTAATCCTAAAATTGTAATACAGCTTGAGCATCCCCTAATCAGAAAATCTGAAATTTGAAATGTTGAAATGTTCCAAAATCTGGAACTTTTTAAGTGCCAACATGATGTTTAAAGAAAATACTAATTAGGATTTTTGAATTAGGGATGCTCAACCGGTAAGTATAATGCAAATATCACCAAATCCAAAAAAAAAATGCAAAACACTTCTGGTCCCAAGCATTTCAAATAAGGGACACTTAACCTGCCCCACCTTCCCATTCCTACCCCATCAGTAAGTCTATTTTTGTTTTCTTGTTTGAATACATGCTTATAATTCAGGAGTTCTTTACCCAGGGTCCAAAGTTTGCTTCCAAGGGATCTGATGAACCTTCTGAAATTGAACATTTTGGAGACAAGTCCCATCACTTTTATC